AATAAATTGATAGATGAGACGTTATTTATGTATTATTAGTTTGTTTGAATTGGATCTGAATTTGATAGGTAGACCAGCCTTTTTCGCATTGCTTGTCTCTAAATATGATGACAAACTCTAGATCTAGAGCAATTTCTTGTATGGATTTATCTTAGAGACTTTTTACACTTATCAAAGGCAGTTACTTTTATGCAAGGCTACACAAATGTGGCGTTTTGTTCCATCAGATTTTACACGCATGGTCCTACAAGTTTGCAGATATGTATATAAATAATTCTCTCTCACGAACGTAACGTGTATACTAAACTGCATGTGAAACAGCGATTATGGTTGCATAGGTACTGCATGAAAATGCAACTATAGTGATCTAGATGCATTGGCCAGTGGCGGCGCTCCTTGCGACGAAAAGAAAAGATGTTCCGAGTAGTACTTTTTTAGTATTTACAGCTCTATTCAAAGAATCCTGTTTTCAAGCACAATTGCGCCCATATTGTAAAGTATTTCAGTTTCAGGCAAAAATCTCGTTACTTAAATTTCGTGAATTTGGTCAAACCTCCTAATGGGAATGTGATTCTTACTATTTTAGACAACCAGCGAGAATAGTTCAGGTAGAAAAGTTTTTCAATATTATCGCAATTGTCGAGGTATTTAAGGCGGTTGTCACGTTTTGGATTTTTGTGATGGTCTCTAGTGGTATATGCCTTAATGATGCCATTAAGCCATTATTAGGCTTTTTACACCTTATTCAAAAATTTACGAATTTCTTTTGTCCAATTTTTTATAACTTATTTTCATTCTTTCTCGAAAGATATCGATCCGATCATGTCCACATTAAGTTAAGATATATTTATGTCATCAGTACATTGTTTTTTAAAAAACTTGTCTTCTTTCAAAAAATGTTATTTAATAACTTTTCATCATACTTGACATGTCTCTTGCCAATAACAACACATTTTCAAATATTTCGAAATATAACGCATAGTTGTCAGACTGGCATAATGAAATGAAGAGAATACAATTTCATATTATATCTATGTAGAACATCAACCAATCACTAGTGTGCTATCATTATATACCTAGGAAATTAAGCAGCGAAAAACTTTTCAGTTGAGCATTGGGGTTGATAATGGTGATTTCCCGAGTTACAACTGAAAACATGTATTTCTTAGCCGATATAAAGATGGATTTCTTATTGTGACTAGTAAAAAAAGAAAATATGACTAGTGCAATATTTGAATAGACAATAAAAAAATTTCATTGTTTCAATAATCAAAAGGCACTATTTTTATGTGTTAGCATCTCGTTCAGGCATGTTAGAACAAAGTAATTCTTGTTAAGCCGCTTTTGATCTACAACCATGATGTCACATGCCCCCCTTCCCCTCCCCCCTTGGCCCAGGTATTGTGAACCCGTAAAATATACCATTGTATACGCGTGCCGACAATGGCAAATAATAGATCAATTCGGTCGTTTACACATATACAAAACCTCTAAAATTTTTATATCCTATTATTTAGTAAACCTAATCTCGTTGATGCTATTCTATACATTGTATAGGTACGTATTGTTCTTATTATACAAACATTGTTTACGTATTGCATACATCGAAATGTAGACAATTAAAGTATACTCGTAAACGCCCATCACTGCTCAAGTGGTGACATGTAAAAAGAATAAGAAAAACAAGGAACTAGTTACATATTTAGAAAAAGGCTTTATTATAAGAAAGTGCTTTTGAATAGGTAGGTAGTATTTACTCATATGTATATAAGTAGTAAAGACATCCATTATACAGTGTGTCCCAGATTCGCTTCACTATACAGGGATCTCGGCTCCTGTTATACCTACGGCAAAGGTTAAATGGGGAAAGTTTTAGAGGAAACTTAGTGCTTTCGATAGCTAGATAGATTTACGATCGGTCTATTGGTTTTGAAAATATCAGCGAAAAGCCAAAAATGGAATGGAATTTGATTTTTGCCAGTAAATCTAAGACGGTTAATCTGACAGCTGTCAAAATGTGTCGTTATTCAAATATTTTTTTAAGGAAAATAAGATAGTGTGTATGACAGGTCTCAATCTTTTTTTGTTTTCCAGCAACCCGCATCCACTATCATTTTTCTTATGGGCGCCATATTGGATTTTTTTGATTTTTGAAAAGAGCGTAAAATGCATGAAGGATTGGAGTACCACCGAAATACCAAGAAGGCCATGATGTATTTGTCAGAAAATAATATTAATGAGTAGGGCATAAAAATACATAAACGCCTTGAAGTTTCAACAGAATATTAACGTTAATACCGACTCAAAACAAGTCAAATGTTTTGGAACCAATTATTAAGTACGCGTGTGTTAAAAAAAAGTCATTAAATTACCTTAAGTTGATTTTACACTTGAACAAACAAATATCTTACAAAATTGTAATGTAACGTTAAATCTGATTATGTCACCAATGTCCATTTACATCCAGACATTGGTGACTGTTTTTCGTACAACCTCAGCTAGTGTATTTATATTAATGTTTCTAACTGTGCTCAAAATTATTTGTCTCAGGATTTCTATGGTCGCGGGATGTTCAAATTCATAGACCTCATCTTTTGTGTGACCCCAGAGGAATACATCCAAGTGTGAAAATTTAATGAAACTATTCTTTCATCGAACTGCTCTCTTAAGAAGTTCTTGACTTGAATGGTGTTGTGAGCCGGACATCCATCCTGTTAAAACCAGATTCTTTTAAACTCATCTTCGGTTAGACTAGCTCGTAAAGCCGGCACAACCTGGTTTCGCAAAGGGTCTAGGCACCTCTGTCCGTTTAGGTTGTATTCAACCAAAATGGTCCAATAAGTCGATTTCCTGAAATAATTAATACCTTCAAATAGGTGCCCAATTAAAAAAGGTAAGTTAGATTAATTACCAATAACGTGTCTAATTTTGTATTAGAGAGATCAAAGGCTCAAAAGGACCTATAAAAACAGTTCATCGCATTAAGTAGGTATGATCACTGATGATGATGATAATCATGATAATTACCGCATATAGTATATAGATTGATTGGGCTCCGAGAATGCTTATCCGAAAAGACATTTTTGCTTATCTATAAACCGGAACGAATAAGTAAAGAGCAAGTCCTATCATACTAAATCAGGATTCCTCAACCTTTTTTTTTTTGGTTGAATTATATTTTTATGCCTCCCATTACTTTTTCAATAAATACAAAAAAACGCACATTATATATATGTAGGTATAAAGACTTTTATTTTAATTCTAATAAAGAAACTTTAAAAGTTTAAATAAACTAATAAATGTTTTTTATCGAAAAACTTGAATAAAAAAACACTTTGATTGCATGTTATGTACCAGTTGGTTGATTCTAGGTTCTGTTTTTGCCAGAGCTATCATCAGGCCGCAGATCGGTATACCATTCTGATGATTCCAAAGTTGAAGCTTTGATATGGAACCACTGAACATAGTCATAATTGCATATTGTAGTGTTGTTTCTGTCCTGAAGTTTCAAGTTTAGCTCATTCAGGGAGTCAAATATGTCAGTTAAATAAGCCAACCTCCATTGAAATGTGTTATCTATAGTCAAGAAATCGTGTTTTTCTTTGAACTCAAGAAGAAGAATTACATCTTCTTTCAATTCATAAAGGGGAGCCAACATGTTGCCTTTGGATAGCCAGCGTACTTCTGTATGGGACAGAAGAACTTTGTGATCAGAATCGAGATTCTCGTAAAGCAAAGTAAGTAACCGACTGTTCAAAGCGCTGCTCTTGATGTAGTTTAGAATCCTTATGGCCGATTCCAAAGCCTGGCGTAATTTCTGTGGCAATGTTTTGGAAGCCAAAGCTCAACGTAAACTTTCTTTTTTTCGCTGCCATTTTGCACCTATAACAATAAAACAAATAAGTAATAAATAAATAAGAAAATACCTACATGTAATTACTAACTATATGTCCATTATTTTATCTTAGTGACGTAATGTATTCAACAGTATATTGGCCACCGGGATATTTATATTTTTGTAGGCAGGTTGACGTTATAATAGTAATTTTAAATACATTTGGAATCAATATTAGGTACTTAAATGTTGTCATTAGAACATTATTTCGCTACGTTGGTTTGACTGTGATGTAAAAAAGTCCCAATGGCCAATCTATGAACGCGTCTCCACTCAATCAACAATTTAGTGAATTAAATAAAAATGGTAACCGAAGTTGGTAAATACACAAACTTACCGTTTAACAGTGAGACACAACAATTTGACACACTCAAACAGATTTCTCAACAAACCATGTACATCGAAACGTCAAATTTTTCGCAAGTTTGTGGGAATGAATGTCACAGATGCTCATCCGCGTTCGGTAGGTACACAATTGTGGAGCGGAGCGCGGCGGGGGTGCTCGCGGATTTCATGTTGTGACTTGTCGAAACTTGTATAAATTGCGATTGACGACGCCGGGTTCTGAAACAGCGGTTGACAGAATAAGTGAATATGATATTTAGTTTCTAATTTCATGCATGTAAATTAAACATTACATTTTAATGTTATTTGTTAATGTTGTTTGTTTATTTTTTTTGTTTTTTTCTGTCTAAAATTCAAACGGTTTGCGTCCCCCTTGACATCTCTCTATGCCCGCCTTGAGACGCGCAGCCCCCTGGTTGGGAACTCCTGTAACTGAATTGTTATACACAAAATATATCAGTAGCCTACGGTCAATTTATATTTAAAATGTATGCGTCTAAAAATAAACTCAACCACAATTGACCAAATTGTCTCTTTTTACTTGTCTATATCTTGTTAGGAGGGCCCCGTTATGGAATTTTTCACGAACCTTTGGCACTATTTTTCGCATTCTCTATGTATCCGAGAAATATTTTATAAGTGTTGGCTGGAAAGACTAGTACATCAAATCTATGTGAGTGAATTACAATCGCAGTTTTTTATTATTTTTCTTACCAATTATTCTATAATTTCTAAACATTGTGATATCTCTGGAATCATTCAATATGTTATTTACATAGATAACTTAGGGTTTATAAGCAGCACAAATAAAAACACTCGAAACGACAGCTGCACGATATCGCAATATGAATAGCACCATCTTGCTGATTATATGCATTTTTGCATTGGTACCTGCATTTTCTACCAACAATGTGCTGAGTCTTGGTCTAGGTACGTCTTTCTATTAAACTCATGGGATATGTGTAGCAAAGACTAATTTTTTTGCTTTCAAGTTTGCTTTGTCCGGCAGCTTACCAAGGATCCAAAAATAGGACTACTAATTTCTACAGTAGTTTCTGACCGTTTGCCGCAGCAATACACGTCTTGTCACTGATTTTTTTTTGCCTAGGTTCGAACGAGGACGGAGAGCCATCTTTTTCTAACTGCTCGCCTCGCGTGCCTCTAGTACACTACAAAAGCACTTCTTACTATATTGGATCGATCTATAACGTAAGTAAGTAAGACAAGTGAGGCCCATAACACAAACTCTAGTCTTGTGAGAAGTAATTTGCTGTACCTACAACTGTTTTTAAACAAAAATTGCCTCGTATAGGAAGAAGCCTAAATACCAAGGCTGCTATGAGGAGCTTAAAGAAACTAATTTTAGTAATATCTCTACATATAAATGTCTTCCGTAATTATTGGTGTAAATCAAATTTGTACAGTTGTGCGACTTGTAGCGTTTGGTTGAATTCCTTTAGTACTTGATCCAAGACACATTCTGGTCCACCTTAGGCCCGTATCGTCAGTCGTCCCTACAATTGTAGGGCGCGTTTATGGCCCCCTTGATTGTCATACTCCTTTCTCCCCTTCAAAAATTTCTAAATTACACTTGTCCCGTGTCAGCGTCAGCGCTCTCCTATTGTGAAGATATGTTTTCTTTTTAAATTGTAGGAAATTTCAGGCTGATAGAACATGATATAACTCAAAAGCAAGCACAATTTGATGCAAATAGATGTTTGTGACATACCTCAAAATAGAGCGCTGACAAGGAGAAGTAGAAAACTATGACAATCAAGGAGGCCATAAAGGCGCCCTACAATTGTAGGGACGACTGACGATACGGGCCTTAGAGATATGTTGGATGGTACCTCCTCGCTCAATGATCAGTGACTTCCACGTCATCAAAACACTTGTGGGATAGGCCTTATAAAACCCAAATAGGTTGCTATACTTAAAAAAAGTCAGAAACTAGAAGCAACTAGGCTAAGCTGTGGAGCTTCATTACAAGTAGGGATGCAACCCAGTACTCGGTTTTGTACCCGATTTTCCGAGTACCCGACTTCGCCCAGTATTGAAAATTAATTGGTCGGTAATTATTCGTTCTAAACGCAAGACGCGCAACTTTTGCGAACCAAAGAATCGAGAATGTGATGGGTAAGATCTGAGCTCATATTCATGACTAATAAAAAAATAGCTAAGGTTACAGCATTTTTGCCGGAATCAGTTGCCTGCTTTGAATGATTTTTAGTAAATTACGCCATCTTCTCCAGTTCTAGGGTAATTTACTACACCTTCGTAGCTTATTTCTCATACATAACATGTTACTAATGCATGATTTTTTTTAAAAAGTAAAACAAAATAAACAAAATGCAATAACGGAAAGTAATCGGAATAACCAGTTTTCTGGGAGTCTGTAAAGGTAACCTTTACTCATATGCAAGGATAATTTTGACTTTTCCAAATCCGAGCAAGTCTCTTCAGGATATCTAGCAGATTTAATTTGTTTCTGTTGTAGCCTCCTCACAAAGCCACTTAGAAACGATTTGCGCTCACTGTTCATGGTGGTCACATTCTATTCTATGTATAAGTATGTTATTTTGAATTGGTATGGTAGATTACTTTTAGCTCATTTTGATGATGATCTTTATGTGCTTTTAATTTTTCAAGGGCACACAGACACAGGCCGAAATTTTCTGTAGCTACCATGGTATGAGGCTACTTAGTATCGAAAGTGATGCAGAAAATAATTTTCTAATTTCTGCGTTATCGGAACATTGTAAGTAAAACTAGCATCTAGGGAGGTGGGATGTGGGAAAAAATGCGTATTATCTTGGTCAACGAATTTAAGAATAGTTGAGATATTTTTCAAAAGGTGCTAAGGACGTCAACATATTATCTATATAGGCTCTTAGTTCATTCTTCTCTATTCAAACTGCATATGTAGATAAATATTTTAGCTACCACGTAGTACTAGTGTACACATTTTGTCAGAAGTTTAATCTTACAGGACAAACGTACGAAGCTAAAGGACCCCTTTACTACGTAGTGTTGGTATGCTACTATTCACAATTCACTTTACAGTTATCGTTGACATCAACTTTATCTATGTAGCTTATTGTAGACACAAAAAATAAAATAAAACAAATGGTCTGTCTGAAAAATGACTTTATTACACGGTATAATTTTGAAAATGTTCAATGAAATTGGGTATTACATGAGCAAGTGAATGCAGCTTTTTTGTACTCCAACTCAAATGGACCTTTTACCTCCCACACCGGGCAAGGAACTATTGAAATGGCGAAAAATTTCTCAAATGTAATATTGTTGTTTTTCGATATACTCGTACATCACGAAAAACTATGTCACTCATTTTGGTCTGTCTGTCCGCTAATCTTTGGCCTGTCTGTATATTGGAAATATTTTGATTAAATTTATCTACAAGGGTACCTCTACACAAAGGACGAAAAAGCTTGATAGTTTTTGGTTATCTGTCCATGGCGAAGCTACGGGCAAAAGACAGAAAAATCAAGATCACTCAATCAATCACTTCAGAGGCTCCCGATCATTTAAAAAAAAAATATTAGGGGTTAAAAATAGGTTATATGGGGTGGGGCTTTGCCTCAACTTTTTGGTTTGAGTACGTTTAGTAATCCAACACACCTATTAATACATATTTCACACATCATAGATTTCGTCGTAAATAACCAATGAAAGAGAAATATCTTCGAGTCTTCCTTTGGGTTACAGTGTCCCCTACGAGTACCGTTTCGTCACAGTCAGCCAGTGTTGCCAGATGTAATCGATCTGCTTTCGGTAGATCTGTGTGAATCTTTTCGTTCGATTTCCGAATACATTATAAAAAAAATCCATATCTTGCCGGTGAAAATTGAACCAGAGGTTCCTGGCACGAGCTTCACTCAATTTGAAAATTGAAGAGTGGAAGGGGGGTGGGTAGTATCACATACCGAAATGGGGAGGGGGGGGGGGTAGCATCACATACCGAAGTGCTGCTTTTTAAACATTAGAAAAAGTTGAACCAAATAGAAACTTGAAGAGCGGGGGTGGCAAAGTGCTGTAGGAGGATGACTGAATTGTCTTTGCTTGGAGATTCAAGGATATTTTTAAGCAGGTGCTTCAGTTCTAATTTATTAAATAACATAATTGATCTCCCGCTTTGTTGGGAAAAATACATTTTTCAGTTAGTGGTAGAAATTAAAGAGATAACATGTTGTAAGATATTTAGGTCAAAGGCATGCCCAAAAGCTTACACTAAATCGATTCAGGTAATTATTGGTACTGTGGATCTGGATTTTTTGAGGACTACCTATAATATTTTTAGAAGCAAGCTGCGTAGGTATATTTTTAACTTGTGAGTTTCAAATATAGTGTTATTGTGATTTTTCTTCTCTGTCGTATAATCACTTATATATGATTAGGTTTCAAATTTAATAAGTTTTTATTGCAAACTGATTAACCTGTGAAATAAAGAAATTATATCGGAAATACACTATTCAAGAATTAAAAAAAATTAGTAGATTTCGCATTAAACCCGGTAGCTCGGTAGAATAGTGCTAAAACCGATTTTCGGAAAGACCGCTAGACCTGGCAACACTGCCACTTCCTCTTATTTCTGAATTGTTTCAATACACGTTAAGGTCATTATTTTGGAATCAGTCGTTTCTGAAAAACGAATATCTCAACTTTCAGAATACCTTGTATATTTGTTTCGTGTACCATTCTACTATTCATTCGTTGTATATTTCAGTTGAAGCAACTAGGAAAGTAACGTTTGCGTTTTGGTCATCAGGAAGAAGATACGACGAAGACGAATGGATGTGGGTCTCTACTGGTATCCCAGTCGAGTATGCCAATTGGAACCCTCCTAATGAGCCAACTCATAATCCTAATGAAGATTGTATTTTGATGAGGTACACCTACTTTCTAGCTTTCTAAAGTTTGTTCATATTTTGTCAGCAAGAATTGACCATAACAATATTAAGACCTTAGTACAAATTCATTAGTAATATACTATTCTCTCTTTTCCTCAAAATAAGAAAGTTGAAGATTCACGGAAAGATGAACCTTAGATAAAACATTTCCGGTATAATAGGTATATCTCTTATTAAATCCGTTTTATGGTCCGCAGTTGCAAAATGAAATTGTTTTGTCTGCAACACAATTGCATCCAATTACTTGCAGTTGCAAGATGGCCCTGCTTCCTCGATTCAAAGGAGAAAGGTTTGCCAACCTAAATGAATGAAATATTCCCTATAAGACAGTGCCATCTGCTATCAGAACCATCCACTAAAAAGGTGCAGAATCGGCGGCAAATAGCGGCCACACTGGTGACCAGCACGGGTATTATGCATCTCGAAATGTGATATTATGTCGATTTTTTTTGTCATTATATTGTTTTATTTTGACTTAACGTTGGTTTTCTACAAGATGTTAACTTAGCACTAGCTGATGGATACTTGTTGTGAACTCGTTTTGTAGTTTTACCGGTTGCCTAAACCTCATGATGCTCCCGATATCAATGTTTTTCTATGATGTGACTTAACATCTGCCTCACAGATGGCATTATATTGGAGGCCTAAGCTGTAAGTTATATACTATAGACTATAGCTGGAAGGAAACGCGAGTGTTTTCAGAAAGCACAACATATAAACAACCAGTCAGGCACAGCTAATAGATTTACTTCAGCATATTCGATAATAATTTTCTCACATAGCAAATATCACTGATTTTAAACACATGCCGACCAATACACATAATCATCCAGATGCGATCTTGCTACTTAACCAGCTTTCTTTCTTTCACATCTGCTCAGATAAACACTACAGACTACTCGACCTCCCAAAACGCATACTTGTTTTCTGCAACCAACAATGCGTGAAGTCATTCCTCCATAGAAGGCAGCAGCGGTGACCGCAGTAGTAGACTCTTCGGTCTCCTGATCAGTTGCCGTGCGCTGTGCGGGTTCGAGCCCCGTCCCAGGAGAAATTTTTCTCTTGGCTATGGATGTTGTGATTGTCCGTAGGTGGTAGACGGTCTCTGACTGTCAAACGTGGAGGTACCACCCGGCGGATCTCGTAGGCGGAGCCAGAATGTGTTCATGTTGCATGCACACGTGTTCCCTCGCCAGACTCCGTGTGACGTTCCCCCTTTCTCCTGTATCCCCCTATAGCCCCACGGTACCCAATGGGTGTTTAGGCCTTAGGCCTTCGTGGTAGTTGGAGTATAAGAAAAAAAAAAAGAAAAGATGGACGCTCACAGCGATCATAGCGAGCAAACGTGGAGTGAACTATTTGCACCCTAAAAATTACCTAGTCTGCAAGATGACATTATATTGGTTTTCTTTTTGTTTTTTACATAATATCCGTTGCAAATGAGACAATGCGAACTGGCATACAGTTTCAACAAACAGCTTCGACAAAGTAAGGCATCAAAGTCTCATCTAAACGCAGTGCAGACAACCTTGCATGAAAAATCACACTGATTGGTTCTATTCCCCTACCACGACAGTTAGAAGAAAGTGACAGGAGGAATCAGCTGTTAGTGCGCACGCATCTGATCAACATTTTTCTTACTCTTGCTGACTGTAAAACGGGTATTAGCACTGGGCACTGATGCAGTAATAGTACTAAATACTTAATCTTGTTATCCTATTCTGCTCGCATTCCATTGAGCTAAAGGTTTACTTATCTATGTTTAGCTATAATCATACAGGTAAGACCTTAGTCTGGGTTGCCCAAGTCTGTGCGTACCCCAGGTACTTCATATGTGAAATCCGCGAAGAAAGTTGTAATCAGACTACGTACGATAATCATGAAGACATAGCAGTTGTAACATGACGTTAGTCGTAGGTGATTTGTCATTATCAATTTGAAACAATAAAGATATAGAGGTACAATGCAGAACTCATTTCGCCTATCGCAAATTCTACGTAACGGTATGATTTTCCTCTAAGCCCTTGTCCTGGAGTCCAAACTTGTTTATATGACAAAAATAAATGAGTTATGATGGAAATACAGAATATGATATACGTCTTGTAGGTCTCGAGAACGAGCGGTCGCTAAAAAATAAATGGCATCTAAAAACTTCGATCAGTGGAAAAAACAAACTATCCTAATTCGAACTGGGACCAATTGGTTATAACACCAGGCCCTGAATAATCCAGATCCTTCAGACAAAAAACTTGTTTTTTCAGTAATTACCAATTGATTTGGACTGATTTTAATTGTCTGCTGTACACATCCAGTAATGTTCGGATAAAACGAAAATCTATTTTCGTATACAAAATGCATTAGCATACTTAATGGTTTTCTACTTTTGACGTGTATGCACTTGAATATTTTATCATTGGCTCATTGCCTTAATAAATATTTTAGCAGGCTAAAATATTTAGAGATAATAGGCCTGAGTATAAAATAAACAATTACTGACACCTGGTCGAGGAACTTCACTGACGCTAAAACTCACGCTACGAAATACAATGTTGTGGTCCGAATTATGTTAACCTGATAGTTATATCCTAAGAGGGACATTTAAATATGTGCAGTGCATTATCACAAAGATTTTTTGTAGAACGGTCTCCGAGATTATGCAGGGCGCTCTGCGTGTTGTGGAATCGTGGTGTAGGGAGGTCGGTCTTTTTGTCAACGCTGGGGGGGCTGATTCCATACACTAGAAGAAGGAGGCTTGACGGCAAAGCATTGCCGATTTTTTTTGGAGCTAGACTAGAATCACTAACATTAGGAATTATCCTGGACTGTAAGCTGAAATGAAGAGAGCATATTGAATACAAGGTTAACAAGGCTCGCAATTCAATGTGGACTTGCAGAGTGAGGTAGGGGCTTAAACCCAAAGTGGTACACTAGCTCTGCACGACGATAGTAGATCCATCTCTCTTGTACGGCACCCTAGTTTGGTGGCTTTGAATTGAAACCGATACAACTAAGGTCAAACTCAATAAAATGCAGCATTTGACTTGTTTCAGTATTTCAAGCGCAGTGCGGACAACGCCATCGAGTGCAATGGAAGCTCTGCTGGATCTCCTACCGTAGGATCTAGTGATCCGCGGAAAGGTGAGAGTAGTCGCACATCGGCTCAGGAGTCAGGGTAGCTGTGCCTTTTTGAATTCTGTCAAGGGTCACCCTGCCATCTTAGTCGACCTGCAAAGAGATTATAATGTCCTTCTCAGCAGGGGTGATCTGATCGCTTTAACCGCAAGTTTAATGTGGAGTGTCCAACGAGAGCGGAGTGGGACTCCGGAAGCCGGGAGATCTCCGGAGGGAGTGGGCAGGTCTGGTATACGGACGTCTCGGTCACTGAAGAAGGCTCTGGCATCGGAGTCTTTGAGCCTAGAACTAGGCTATTTTTGCCTCTTGCCGCATTTTGGAGGGGGGAGAGCCTAGGAGGAGAACAACAACCTTCTCCGACCGCCAGGCTGCAATGATGATCTGTAAGATTATTTCAAGCCTTGTATTGCAATGCATAAAGTCTCTGGATTGTCTAGCAGCGAGGCATCGGATGTCGTTAGTGTGTGGCTGAGGATCCCCTATGTGAGCGCTGCGGGACAGAGGAAGAGACCTCGGGGCATGTTCTGTGTCGCTATGGGGCTCTGAGCTACTGCAAGCAGATTATACTGGGGTCCATCACTTTGGATCCCCAAAACATTAAGGAGCTGGGGCTCAAAGGCTATACTTTGCTAGAAGTGCGTGGGCTTGAGGGTTAGAGAATATAGGAGTACATAAGTGCACGTCTAAGTGGCCTATGCACCGGCTCCTCATGGTTGACGTTTGCCTCTAATTTCATGATTCATTCATTCATTTATTATCACAAGGATTACCCAGCCAAATCCACATATGAAAGGGAATCTGCACATCTTTACCTCCACTAACAAAACGCGGTCAAAATTAACAGTTTTTCTGAAAAATTTTCATTACCCGAATGAACTTTTTAATTATTCTAAGTAATTATATGACCCGAGCAAACATCACTCATAACTTGAACGTCCCACAGTCCAGGCGAGATTCAAATTTGCGTTTTCTGACATACCTTGCACCTTAATTTTACAATTTGATTCCTGCTAACTAATAAAAAATTTAATCTTTCGTCTAAAATTTTCTGTTGGGAAAGTCATGAACAATTTATGCGTTTATTTTAAGTTGCTTTGAGGTAGATTCTGCCTATTTGTTCCTTTTCCTTCTTTTTGATATATTTGTGATACTTTTTTTTGTGATCTTAAGTCAAATGACTTACAACAAAAATACGAAATTTTCTCTTATTTTGTGTATACCGTGTTTCATGTTTTGTTGGTATTGTTGAGTGATTTATGCAAAAATATATATTGCACGATAGTTATCAGTTAATTACTGTTTTGGACTGTTCTTTGCGCATACAAAAGTTTTTAAACTTAGGCGCTCAGATATTTTAGAGAAACCTTGTTTTTGTTTTGCTAATGTATAGATATATGTTATTTTTCTATTGGTATGTTTGGGTGTTTGCTGAATTAATGTGATAGAGTTCAGGGCGTACTGTTCTCTCCAACAACAACAAATGAAAATTATTTAGTTCAATTAAACTGAATTTTCTGCCATCCTTTTTAATTAGAAATAGCAAAGCAAGTACTTGTTTTTTTAACTACTAACCTAGTTTAGATAATTCAGTTTAAGTAGAAAAGGTATATTACACGACAATTAAACATCCTAATACAAACATTTAAACTGTTTATTTGAACTGCGGACTCGGCCCGTCATTGACATGCGACAGGCGCAGTGTCGGTGTCGCACTACGAACTTCTCAGTGCCACTTGTGATTTCCGTGACGGGCGTCACATTCGAATGTTGTCGTCGTTCGTGTAGTAGCTGAGAAGTAGATTAGTCATGGTGATCATATGAAATAAGGCGCGAAGTGACCCAAATACTAGGGTCTGGCGGGTCTGTCTGGCAGGCACATCGCGCGGAGCGAAAGGGATAAAAAGAGCCGTCGATGACAACGGGTCCTAGGATTGCCTGATAGAGAAGAATCATCGATCACTCGGACAACTTTCCTCACCCCAAAAATGTGAGCAGTTCTCGAGGCTAGGTCTTATCTAGGCGAAAAGTACTTCTTAGCACTAAACAAATAGCTGCTATTGGCGAGATGTGTTCGTGCCAGATCAAGTCCTCGATGATCTGTACTCCGACCAGCCGAAATAATCGGCTCTTTGTCTATACTAAAGCCATGTGTTTGAGCATAGGGCATCTCTAGCATCGACACATTCCAGCACGCTTCCCCTCTACACGCGCAGAACGTTAACAAACATCACGGTTTCCACCACCCACCGTGGATGCGTACTCCAAAATTGTATAAAAGCCATTGGTTATCTAACTATCGATTCGAATATATATTGTGCATGATGCATGTACCTAATGATAAATATTTTATATGTATATTTCTCTAGTCCGAAATCAATGTGAGCGAGACTAACAAACTGTAGGATACACGATTGGACTCTTTCGAAACTTCAGTGAAGATTCAGAGAAGTGATGAACCAGACCTTAATGTAACATTTGATACTCAATCTGTGGCTGTCTCGCTAATCAGTCTTTTTGTTTTGTTGACCGTCAGATAAAGCCACGTACGTGGAAATGAAAGGTGATCAGTGAGATATTTTATTCTTTTTGACATATATTAGGTAGATAGCTGATATAGTTTTTAGTTTTTTTTAACTTTCACGGTCGTGCGAGGTTATACTACATACTGGATCTCAACAGCGCCTCTGTCAGACAATAAAGAGTAGCAACAGACAAAAATATCTGCTGATGTTATAATTCTGGACCTTGAGCCTGACTGCATTCTGCTCATTGACTCATGACAACTATGTTAATAAGGTGCACCGATAAGGTTTTCAAAAACTTGCCTGGTGATCCGCTAGAGCAGCGGTTCTCAAACTTTTTGGATGACGGAACCCTTTTTGGAAGCGAAATACGTCGCGGAACCCTTGAATAAAACCAATACCTTTATGTGCATCCTTTATTTATAATCGTAATATGAATAGGTATAATACAATGGTAAGGTTACTTATTAGTCCTATTACATAAGTAGACAAAAAACATTTAAGAAAAAAGTTAAAAACCTAATGTGAGGTATGATACTGTTTCTTTTTTTTCATCAACTATTTGATGTCAGGTTGGATGGGAGAGAGATGAAGTCTTATGTCAGGTTCGGCGTCCAGTATATTGCGGTATTTTGTTTTTGTAGCTGCATGGGTTGAAAATCCAACCCAACCCTCGGCAAATGTAGACAGTAGCAGTCAGCAGACCACGCGACGTAAAAGTGAGTAAACGCGGCAGAAGCAAGCGTATTGTTCCATATCACTCTTTTATATTACAGTATATTATATTATATAGGCCAAAAATTCTCGCGGAGCCCCCATCGAGGCTTCGCGGAACTCTAGGGTATTTCTCAGCTATGAACACTGTCTGGAATCACATCCTTTGTAGGGGATGTGAATAGGGAATGAGACGGTTAAGTAATTGCTTTGCAACTATCCAGTTGTCCCATCATTATGGAATTCTCTAGTTTGTGGGCTTTTTCTGTAATGGAAGCTATTTTGCTGGTCACCAACTTCCTTCTTCAGAAATTTGTGTATGTGAGATTCAGTTCTAAAAAACACTCGGGGAAACGTACAAGTAGCTTTAATGTCGCAATCTTATCTAACGTCTCCTCCTCCATTGCAGAACATTAAATACATCATAGTACTCGTATATCTTAACCTGCATGATAGCTCTCTAGTTCCTGGCTTATTGCTAAGCACAACGTTAGATTTTCTAATTATACACGACCGTGAACGAATAAAGTGATATGTGCTGAGGACCCACTATATACGTATTTTTCCATGTACTTTTTCTCGCTGAACGCGAATCT